TTTATTTCAGAAAAACTAAAAGTTTAGACGTAGATAGACTTACATTGTTATACATACTAGATGTAGACTTATATTGTTATATAGGTATACATACTAGACGTAGATAGACTTACATTGTTATACATACTAGATGTAGACTTATATTGTTATATAGGTATACATACTAGACGTAGATAGACTTACATTGTTATACATACTAGATGTAGACTTATATTGTTATATAGGTATACATACTAGACGTAGATAGACTTACATTGTTATACATACTAGATGTAGACTTATATTGTTATATAGGTATACATACTAGACGTAGATAGACTTACATTGTTATACATACTAGATGTAGACTTATATTGTTATATAGGTATACATACTAGACGTAGATAGACTTACATTGTTATACATACTAGATGTAGACTTATATTGTTATATAGGTATACATACTAGACGTAGATAGACTTACATTGTTATACATACTAGATGTAGACTTATATTGTTATATAGGTATACATACTAGACGTAGATAGACTTACATTGTTATACATACTAGATGTAGACTTATATTGTTATATAGGTATACATACTAGACGTAGATAGACTTACATTGTTCTACATACTAGACGTAGACTTACATTGTTATACAGGTATACATATAGTGAAAATAAAGACAATCTGATGAAAAATATATAGCTTTACAGCTTTTGGTATAATTGTAACGTGAACATAAATTTATTACATGTTAGTTTGATTTTTTTCATATTCTTTTTTATTTATTTATTTATTTATCGTAGACTTTTCATGATCCATAATTATGTTCATAAAATGTAAATAACACATTATGCAAATTTTAATATTTGATCGCAAATTCAATGATGAAATGATAGAAACTATTTTGCTTTATCATACCTCAGGATTGACTGCACCAATCTTATTCAAACTGGTCGCAATCGAAAGTTTATTAGACGTAAAAACTCCGGAAAAGCTATTTGGTAGCGTCGCGGCCCCTGTACATAGGCAAACCGTTGACAAGCCAGAAAGAAATCTTTTTCATATACTTGGTGTCGCGACGCTACCGCGTAGCTTGATTATATCATATATTCTATTATTTTGATAAGGATTCTGCAGAATCTCTGCTTTTTTATTATCTTTGTGTGGAAAAAGCACATCTTGCGGATGTTATTGAAGCGATTCGGATGCGGTTTATTTCCAGAAAATTCATGCGCAACAAATGCAACATCATCGAGTACTTCGACGTGCACCACTACATTAGAAAAGCTGCCAATGCAGAAAAAGATGAGTTTTTGCAAACAAAGAGACGAGAAAGATTCGTCCGGTGAGACTGAACTCTAATGCTGCAATGCGCAAAAAAAAAATTTTTTCGCAGAACAAGATTACATACACACACATACACACACGCATGCACGCACACACACACGCACACAAACATTCACGCACGCAGGCACACAAACGGTTTATTAACAATTAATTATAATCTCCTAATTTTTAAAAATTAACTATACAATATTAGATATTGGCTTTTTTTTTCTTTAATAAGCTTAGCTCAAGATTTCACGCAAAAAATGTATTCTTTATTATCTTATTATTATTTAGTAATTTTTTTCTAAATTTACTTAAGCTCTATTTAATACTTAATGGTCAAAAAAATATACGTAAATTTCTAAATTTTCAGCGTTTTATCAGCGCTACTTATAAAGTTATTATTAAGTTTTATTATTTGCTTTGTAAGGCTCTATCTCTCATGGAATTTTTATAAAATAATATAATTAATGTCATATTTTATATAAATATGTAAAATATTATTGTTATATTGGACTATAATAAAACGCTTGTAAATAAAGCATTTATTGTAATTTTTCCATAGGATTACTTGCTATTGTATAATTATCATAATGTAATTTAATTCAATTTATCTTTAATTTTTTATTTTGTACTCACAATAAATCTCTTACTGGTACATATCATTACGAGTCAAATTAATGATTGTAATCTTGTCAGAATTGTTAATGTTGCAAAGAATCGTTAAAAATATTATGCTGCAAAATGTTAATCAAAAAAGATTATCTCTGAGGCAAATATATAACATATAAAGTAAAAATAAAATACTGTCTTCCGAACCAGTATAGTCCAGATCGATTACGAATATATGCGAGCACAACCATTTTAAATAGTTTAAAGATAGATTCTTTTGTTCAATTTTTTCTACATGCAGCTATATTTTGTATATATACGTACAAAAATTAATTATGAGTTAAAGAAAATAGTAAATTGCTTACATAAAATGCTGCACATAAAAATAATAAATACAGTTTCGCATTTTTAATGAAATACATATCATGATGCATGAATATTTTTGCGCAACGTGCATAGAATGAAAATGATAAAAATATACTTAATTTTCAACAAATATCAATTTTAAACGTTAAAAAAGGTCAAAGAAATAATTCTTCACTATTACTAGTTTTTTTTAACACTGCGTAATTACCATTACGTGTCATGATCATTAGCGCTATGTGTACATTATATCTTGATATATCTAGTAATTAATGAACAAACAAAACATCTGCCAAGACATTTAAATCATTTATAATACAAATAAATTACTATAAGAGTAATATTTATTTTATACTATTATATTCTTTATATTTCGTATAAAATGCATTTATATAAAATCGTTGCAACTTCAAAACTCTTACTCAGCATCTTTGTTCTTCACATATTTATACCTTAGCATTTGCACCTTTTTTCTAAAAGTAAAATCAAGATCATGAACCGAGAACATGTCCGCGCCATTTGAACCATCATCGCTATTTGCGATATTTTCTAAAAATAATTCTTATTGATTTATGCGCTGATGCGCACCATATAAGATACGGACAATTGCAAACCGGATCTTACCTAACATTTACTGTCAATTATTACATATTATCATCTATACAGGCTGCGTTCTGATATTATTGCCAGTATTGAAAATCTATAGTGTCCGTAAACTATACGTTTTCAGTAGTGGCAATAATATCGGAACGCAGCCATAGTAAGAATTGTAAATTACCAACCGGAGTTTAAATTTTAGTTTCCCCGTTTAATTCCGGTTTACGTCCTCCGTATTCATTGTAACACCCGCGAGAACACAGACTTCATCCACACCCACATTTACACACATACATATTAGATTTTAAGCAAGTTATTTTACAATAACAGTCTATAAAAATGAATCAGATGATTCATTATTAAATTGTATCTTCAAAAAATTATTCGTTTTATTTCTTTGAATAAATGTAAAGTTAGATTTTAAAATTCGAGCAATTTATTAACCCGACCTCCTTCCTGTTAACCGAAATCGCACAAGGTCCCGTCCCGTGTAATAAGGATTCAGTTCCGTTACCAAAAAAGGGACCACCGAGCGAACGGCCTTCCGATAGAGTAAGAGCGACCCTTCCGGTCGTTGACCTATCTGGGGCCCTGGTCTGTTCGTTCGACTCTAGGACACGCATCGTCTAGCGTTTGTCTAGAGGTAAGTAGGTTACGCCCTCCCGCTGACTCTTCCTTTATTTGAGTCTGGACGTAACAATATTATTATTTTTGTAGGTAATTATTTACATTACTAGAAATATAAATTTTTATAATTTTTATCACAATATATGAAATAAATAAATTAGCTTATTTTTATTTGATATATACATAGTGTAACATTGGCTTATAGTAATTTCATGCATTTCTTACTCAGCATCTTTGTTCTTCACATTTATACCTTGATATATTTAAACTTTTTTCCTAAGAGTAAAGTCAAGATCATATACGGAGAACATATCGGCGTCATTTGAATCATCATCATTAACTTCGATATTCTCTTAAAATAATTATTAATGATTTATGCGCTGATGCGCGCCATGTGAGACACGGGCAATTGCAAACCGGATCTTACCTAATATTTACTATCAGCTATTAACAAACATATTATCATCTATAAAGTAAGATTATAGGCAGAATAAAGTAGATTTTTCTTGTTTTTGTACCTGACTAAATATTTTTCGAGATAAATTCTTCAAAAACATCATATAATTAATATAAGTATGAAATATTCATTATATGCGTCTTTTTTAATCGTTCCATATAGCTGTTCTTAGATACTATAGTATTATCGAAAATGTAGTAATGTTTTATTGGATATTAATGTTCTAAGCGGCTAAACGTCCTTTATGATATCGTTGAATTAATCCATCTCTATTATGTATAAAAGTTTATTATAAAGTTTTCTCTTCAAATCATCTCGTATACACGATTTCACAGCAGATAGTGTGCTTCTTCAACATTATAGATAACTCGTTATTTACTGTAGTTTCGTCATAACACTCGCGCTAGTACGTATGCTACTCGTGCGCTTTTCTTGCAGTGTATTCGCGAGCAGTGATTTCAATCTTTGTTGAGATAATAATGTCGCTGTCACGTTCAAATCAATAGATTAACGATATCATAAATAACTATGCCTTCGCAATTCAAAAAAAAAAGCGAAACTAATGCTAGAGTATGATCTGACAATGAAATTAATGTAAAAAAAGAAAAATTATTTTTCTCCAAATAATTTAACATGAAAAAGTTGATGATGTGCGGAAAAAATCTCGCGTTCTGGTATTGTGCACTTATGCTCATCGCTTCATCCTTCAAGCTTCTACTTAACTCCACGAGCAACGAAGAAATATATGGCACGTCACAGAAAATCTATAGAAACTTGATGAGATTTGAAGGGAAAAATGATTCCACGTCGTATGAGTTATATGAAACTTTGAATGAAGGTAACAATAAATACATAAACATCCATTGTAGCACATGAGATGTGCGCTAGTATTACTTGCATTCCACTCTGCTGTCTTCTTGGCAATCGCCTGATTGACAACGATTGCATCCTCTTAAAAAATAAAATTCTTTCTTCTTTTTTGCCAAACATGTACGGACACTTGGACATTATGTTGCAGAACGAAAACAAGAGGAAAGACAAACTTTTTCACCTGGTCGTTCACGATCCGTGCCGGAAGAACACTCTTTGCTTGATTCCAACAATAGAGGCCATTCGAAATATAAATATAGAATTGAAGGCAAAAATGATTTCACATTTTTCACTAACGGTTCTCTGTATCTTCTTTAAATCTTGTATAATATATAAAATAGTAGTATTTTATTGCGCATTTTATTACAATTAGTGAAACCACATTAGTATTTAAAAATTGATTATATGATATATATTGATTATACACAATATTTGTTGTTGCAGTCAAATTTCAAATTAAAATAATAATCAAAAAGAAATTAAAAAACAAATATAATATAATGGTCATATTGTAAATCACCGACGATATATGTGTGGCGATGGCATTTGGACGTTGTCCACTTATTTGTACAAATTCTACGCGGGATTTAGTGAGCCTTCCTTTCTGATTATCAATTTTGATTTAAAATTTGACTGCAATAACAAATGTTGTGTATGTCGAGTTTTAAAATTCCAGTTTAATCTTTATATATTTATATCTATGCTGAAGATGGACCAAAAAACGGTTCGAAGCAAACATTTTTAATGCACATTTGTCAATAAAATTTAATAATAATAAATTTGCGCAACAATATCGGCGCTTTGGCTCTTATCTGCCAATTTTCCCATTTATTTGCCAATTTTCCCACTTAATTTATTAATAAATTTTTATACATGATAGATGGATTAATCCGATAAATGATATAAAGAACCATAAAGGACGTTTAGCTGCTTAGAATGTTAATATTCAATAAAGCATCACAATATTTTCGACAATACTAAAGTATCAATAAAGGATCACTATATTTTCGACAATACTAAAGTATCAAAGAACAGTTTTTTGTGGAGCAATTAGAAATGAGGCAAATAATAAAAACTTTTTATTTATATTAAATATATGATGCAATCGAAAAATTTACCTTAAAGGAAAAACAATTAATCAAGTACAAAAGCATGAAAAATATCTTTCATTCTTTAATCTTACTTTATAGATGATAATATGTCTGTTAATAACTACTGACAGTAAATGTTAGGTAAGATCCGGTTTGCATTTGTCTGTATCTCACATGGCGCGCATCAGCGCATAAATCATTAATAATTATTTTTAGAAAATATCGAAAATAGCGGTGATCGTTTAAATGACGCCGACATGTTCACTATCTTGATTTTACTCTTAGAAAAAAGATGCAAATGTCAAGGTATAAATATGTGAAGAACAAAGATGCTGAATAAAAGATTTGAAGTTGCAACGATTTTATATAAATGCATTTTACGAAATATAAAGAATATAATAATATAAAATAAATATTACTTTTATACTAATTTATTTGTATTATAAATGATTTAAATGCCTTGGCAGCTATTTTGCTTGTTCATTAATTACTAGATATATTAAAATGTGATGTACACATAGCGTTAATGATCATCACACGTAATGGTAATTACGCAATGTTGGGAAAACTAATAAGAGTGAAGAATTATTTCTTTGAACTTTTTTTAACGTTTAAAATCTATATTTGTTGAAAATTAAGAGTAATTTTACAATTTTTATTCTATGCTTATGATATTTAATTTAGAATACAAAATTATATTTTTAGTTAATCTAGTATCTTATTGTGCAGCAATTTATGTAAGCAATTTACTATTTTCTTTAACTTATAATTATGTTACGTCCTGGAGATTCCACGATTCCTTCCTTCCGCGAAGTGTCGGCAACGATCGTCGATTGGTGAGACAAACGAACCGCTCAGTAAAC